TTCATATCATGCTTTTATATTAACTACGTGTGTCTTTTTCCTACAAAGGTTCACTATTCTGGGATAAGTGTACAGTAAGAGAATTATACTAGCTTGATCTGGGTTTTTCTTATATACATAGTTTGGCCCCTGGTGCAAAGACTCACTATTCTGGGATGTCTAGGACTGAATTTACTATTAAAAAAAGGAAATTGGAGGGACATCCAGAACATGCGTTCCTCAGTAGCGGTAAAGACCATAATGTGTACAAAAAGCAGACTAGTGAACAGCACACACAAAAAATAACTACAGTTTTAAATGTTATAAGGTGACTTAAAATTACCTACCTTTGCAAACAAATATGGGGATCCAGTTTCATCATATGATCATATCGTGTTAAGCACGCCACCACATAGTGGTGTCACTGAATCACCATATTTGTTTGATGTGATTGGTCATATTAAGTAGTTAAAACTGCATTTGCACATGTGTGCTGTAAGCAGTGTTTTGGATTTACTGTTAGGCCTAGTATGCAGATGCTTACAGGCACATGGCTGATAGGGTGCCAGCGGTGTCTATTCTTCTTGTTTAACCCCTTAAGGACCAAACGTCTGGAATAAAAGGGAATCATGACATGTCACACATGTCATGTGTCTTTAAGGGGTTAAAAGCAGCTGCCTGTGGGGAAATGCCATCTTCCCAGATAGCAGTAACCTGAACTGTGCTTGAAGGATTCTGGGATCGCTGGGTTAAGTGTGAGTGAACTTGATATCTGCATTGCCCTGCCCCCTCATTCTTTGTTTTTTTTTTTAATGATTTATTGTTATTGCAAATTTGACAAATACATTTCATCATAAGCATAAATTGATACATGGTACAGTGTCACAGCATAGGAGAAACAATATAACATCATAAAGTTTCTGTAAAATTCACAATAACATCGAGAGACCATTGTAAACATTGTTACATGCAATGTAGGTACACATATAGTTGTTATAGATTTTTCAGATTTTTTTGTATAAAGATTAAAAATACAAAAACAAATCTAAACATAAAGAAACATAAGATAAGCAAGACATTTATACAATTCTTAAGTAAGGTGACATACGGATACGCAGAATGAGCCTCCTACCCGTTCTTTATAGAGAGAACCAGATGCCAGCCTAAATGCAAGATCGTACTTTATGCAATTCTACCAGTGCCTACTAGCCTTGGAGGGCTTTTGTCCAACGGGAGTTGAGATGGTGGGGGGTGGTGGGAGATGGAGAGACATAGAGGGGATGTAGCGTAAGACTTTATGGAACATAGGGACAGGGGCTTTGGTAGAACTGCAATACACAGACATAATATATCAAAATCCTGAAGCTTATGTGCATCCACTTCTACTAGTTTGTCTTTCTCTAAGACATATTTTATGCAGAAATATGTAAACAGGTCTCTACTGGGCAATGCATAGATAGACTGCAGATCAGGAAATCGGTGAATCCCTACCTCCCCAGTATTTGTATTACTCTTGTGATGCCCCTTTGACTCCAACTCTCCAAGAACATGCATGCGATATTGCAAACTCCACTGAAAAGAGTATGTCCCCATCATTTGCGATACCATATTTAGAGCCCATTTACACCATAGTGATAATGGCAGTTTGGTTGTGGCCAACAATTTTAAGCTTTGTGGGTATTGTTGGGTTAGGTCTATTACTGAATTGGAGGCACTAACTACAGGTTCTAACGCATGCCACTGGAAGGGCGAGTATGCTGCTACCATTCTGGCCATCTAGGATGGAGGCCACATAATATTTTGCAATGCTTGGGGCCCCCTCAGTCTTAACACAGTGCTCTTCAGCAGAGAGTGAAAGGACAGGGGCAGAATGGACAACTCCTACAAAGCCTTTCTGTGACACACACACAAACACATATTCATATGTAAAGCTTAAAAGGCCACTATGTGCATCAAAACAACTTTAGCTTAATAAAGAAGTTTTGGTGTATAGCTCATGACCCTGCAGTCTTACTTCTCTGCAACTTAGGAGGTAAATACATCCCTAGTCACACCTCCTTGCATGTGACCTGCACAGCCTTCCTAAATACTTTCTGAAATTGAACCTTGATATTCCAGGTCCCTGTATTGCAGAGTCTATGAAATCTAGATTGTATATCTTGCTCTGTTAATAAAACCCTACACCTTGCAGGAGTCTCTTGTGTATGATTAAAGTTCAATTTAGAGAGCAGGAAATACAAAACTTCTAAGGGAAGTTAACATCTGATTGAAAATGAAATCATTTCTTTCCATGTCACAGCCAGGGGAAGTGTGTCTAGGGCTACATAAACACAAGAAGTGATTTAACACCTAAGTGGCAAAAAATTGAGCAGTGAGTCTGCAGAGACTTGATCTATACAGCAAAATTGCTTCATCAAGCTAAAATTGTTTTGATGCCTATAGTATCCCTTTAATAAAGTGTTTATATTGCTGTATATGTGTGTTAGTACTGCACTTAGTGGGAGGTGAAGAAGATGTGGAAATGAATGAGCAGTGAGTGATAAAAATTATACTTTGTAAACATTTTACATATAACAATATTGTTACTAGATTATTTTTATTTGTGTATTTTAACATGTTTATATCTATGCTCTAATTTAATAGTGCAATAATATATTCCCTTTTACACTTCACAAAAATAACACACTGAAGGCACATAATTCACTATATTTCCCCTCTTACGCAAGACCTCTGTGTTCTAGTTGACAATATTCCCATAATAGTGAAGATATTGTTGCATTCTGGCTAAAGAGAGAAATATAGAGCTAATAACCCTCCATTTCTCGGTCACAGATGGCTGCTACGATTTGACAGAAATATACTGAAGATTAATAGACTGCCCAAAGGCATATAAACTATATATTAAACATTATTTGATTCACTTTAGACATTTCTTCCTATAAAGGGAATTGAAGATTCTAAGTGTTGACGAAAAGAAAGAAAACATGATTTTTTTTTACACTTTCAAAAACATACAGTTTTAAAATAATGTATATTCTAACCTAAAAATACCAACAAAGTGCAAAAAAATATGTTCACAGTTTTATTCATCAGGTGCACAGAATTGGTACAACTACAGTTATAGAGACATACTTCAATATACATCTTATTCATCCTAATTAACAAAGTACTTCATACGTCCTGGATCTTAAATAATTTATAGGTGCAATAAGTCACAAATTGCAAGTTTTCAAACTACAGTATGTTTGGCCTGTAAGTTTAACAGAGACAAAACAAAGTCCTTTGAGCTTGTATTACTGCAGTCCTATTAAAAAGAAAAAAAAGTTTTAAAATGTAATTTAAAAAATACTTTTCTATTTACAAAATGAAGAGACTTTTCTAAATTAAACATTGTAGGTTATCTAACAAGGCTGTACCGACACTTTTAATTATCTATGTTACAAGCAAATGTCTGCGTTTGTGTGTAAAACATATCCACAATATTGTCACAAACATTAGTAAACTGAATTTATGTTGGCTGTGTATTTTGCAAACCTGTTGTATGCCACTGCAGTAAAATTAAATTCACCAGAATGCAGGTAGCTGGAAAATTTCTAATTTTGCTCTGAATGTAATTCCATCGAATCTAATGAGCATTCAAATTTTGGAAACTTTATTTTCCAAAAAAGGTGAACGTTAAATTTGAGTAAATACAGTATATACAGACAGGCAAAATGTGTAAATTAAAATAAAGTAACTTAGAAGGAAATTTAGAAATAACCTTTAGTTATATATTAGGTAATGCTAAGTCTGTGGAAGTGCTAGTGCCACTTTGAACACAGGATACCTGAATCAATTTTTTTAATTGGGCCAAATGTAATTTTTAACCCCAGGCACATGATGTTCGTAACCCAGCTCTGATCATTACAACTGGTTAATCTTTTAAGCAGACCTAAATGAAAGTAGTTTTCAATGTTCTACTCTAATGCAGTAATCCTTTTCAGATGGAGATATTATCCTGGATATCATAACAGACCTATTATTTCTTAATTTGCATAAACTATTTACATATCTCAGTCCTTTAGATACATAGATAGCATATTGTACACTGCATGGTTTTTCCTTTTTTGATAGATTAACAAGTTAGAGGAGCAAAATCATGAAAAAAAATGCTAATTTTATAGATCATAGAAAAGAGTGCTTTAATGTTGCAGATGTTCTTTCGTTTTTATTTTGAGTGATATATTATGCATTGCTACTGCAAATGTCTGCATTTATTTTCAAAAATTGTCACATACCTCCCAAGTGGCCCTATTTAGGAGGCACAGTCCTTATTTTAGGCTCAATTCCCTCTGTGCCTCTTATGTCCATATTTTCTAAAAGCACCAAATTTGAAAGAATTTTTTTCATAATTTAATATTGTACTTTATTCAGAACTGGTCACATAGGGAACTATACTTTCCCTGCTCATATGAAAAACTACAGGTTAATGTATTCCCTACAGACTTTTTCATAGAAAAGACAGTGTTTACATTACATCCTAGGAACACCTCTAGTGGCCACTCCTCTGACAGCCACTAATCTCCCCCACAGGTTTACATGAAACCTGAAAAAAATTACATGAATGGAACTATATAGAAAGTTTTGCTGGGAATTAGAAAACCTTAAAGGGACACCACAGCCACCAGAACAACTACAGCTTATTGTATTTGTTCTGGTATCATCATTCCCTTCAGGCTTTTTGCAGTAAAACACTGTATTTTCACAGAAAATTTAGTGTTTACATTACAGCCTATGGATAACTCGACTGGCCCGGTCAGCGCTGGGTTCTTTAACAGCGCAACTGGCCCCCTGTGATGTCAGACAGAGCTGGAAGGAAGTGACTGCATGTCACTCCTCCCAGCTATCAGACAGCCACATGGGAGGAAGAACTCTGACTCCCATCAGGCTGAGCTCCGACTGGACCCCAGGGAATGTCATCCTCCTGCAAAAGGTAGGAAACAGGAGGGTGACAAACATTTTGTGTGTGTGTCTGTATGTATGTGTCTGTATGTGTGTGTCTCTGTATGTATGTGTCTATATCATACAGACACATGCATACAGAGACACACACACACACACACATACAGACACACACACACATACAGACAGAGACGCACAAATACACACACATACAGACTGTATGTATCATACAGACACACATACAGACACACACACACACATACACACACACATACAGACACACATACATACAGACTGTATGTATGTATATGTGTGTGTGTGTGTCTGTGTCTGTATGTGTATGTCTCTGTATGTATGTGTGTGTGTCTCTGTGTGTATGTGTCTGTATTTGTGTGTCTCTGTATGTATGTGTCTGTATGATATAGACACATACATACAGAGACACACACATACAGACACACACACATATCGACACATACATACAGAGATACACACATAAAGACACATAAATACAGACTGTATGTGTGTGTGTGTCTGTGTGTGTGTGTATGTCTGTATGTGTGTGTGTGTGTATCTGTCTGTGTGTATGTGTTTCTGTATGTGTATGTGTCTCTATGTATGTATGTATGTGTCTGTGTGTATGTGTCTGTATGTATGTGTCTGGGGTGGGGGGCATGGATCAGTTTTGTACCGGGGCCCCATGGATTGTGTGTACGCCACTGCATATATTTGTCAAAATCACTGCAGAAGTTTCTTTGAATGCAAGAATGTTAAAAATTAGGAAATTTCTGGTTTGGTCATTTGGAAAGTTTTTTTTTTATTAATATTAAATTATTTATTTTGGTTATTTCAAAATCTATTTGCACTATATAAAAGACATATCAAGACAAAGAACATGACTAAATTATCCATTTCAGAAACATACATATATTAGTTTCACCGATATCAAAAGTGGTATGGCTACAACATATACAAATTTAAAAAACAACAACTTGCAGTGGTTAAAACAGGGAGAATGGGTTAAGACCCTTACCAATCAACCCATACTTTTTAAATGCATTTTCTAAATAATGCAGTGGGAAAAATTGCCCAATTATAAATTAAATTTAATTATTTTGTTTTACAAAAGATAGCCATTGTTCGTGCATTGCTGCACATTACCATGATCTCCTACAATCGTTTCAGAGGGATTATTGATCATATTCCTAAATCCCTGCACAGCAAGGGTTAAGAGGCACAGCACAGGTTTTTGAAAGTTGTGCTTTAGCTCTCAGATCTCTGCTGAAAAGCTCTACAGCTTGCAATTAGCTTTAATTCATAAAAAACACAAATTAAGCTGTTTGCACAGGGTAATGTAAGCTGCAAGCAGATATCTTCATTTGTGGTTTTATGAATTAAGCTAATTGCAGACTATACACCTTTTACAAAAAGCTGACAGCTGAAATATGGCTCATGTAAAACCCTGCTGTTCAACCTCCATACAACTTGCTTTATCATTCAGAAGATTCTTCAAATATATCCACATTTTAATTTGAGTTTTGGTGACACTTAAACTGTCAATCCCGGGCAACAAAGTTAATTTCATCCTCCTCAAATGACATCAGTTTAAAGGGACACTATGGTCACCAGAAAAAAACTACAGGTTAATGCAGTTGTCCTGGTGAGTATAGTCAGTCCCTGCAGACTTTTTCATAGAAAAGACAGTGTTTACATTACATCATAGGAACACCTCTAGTGGCCACTCCTCTGACAGCCACCAAAGGTACTTCCTGGTGCAGTGCTGCACATTGTGCAACACTAACTTTGGGTGTCTCCACCCTCTGCATGGAGGCGCTGAACTTTACCCATAGAGATGCATTGAACCAGACCTGTGCAGTGCTGGAAAAAAAGGTGTGTGTTTTTTTTTACTTATTTAACCCCTTAAGGACACATGACATGTGTGACATGTCATGATTCCCTTTTATTCCAGAAGTTTGGTCCTTAAGGGGTTAAAGAGGGCAAGTAGGGGTCTGTCAAATATTCTCCCAAGCCAGGGACCCTAAATGTGTTTTTAACACTATAGGGTCAGGAATATATATGCTTGTGTTCCTTTAACCCAGAAGAGGGCTCATGAATTTTATATAATAGAGAACCAAAACACAAAACCATATCCAATTGCAAACAGACACATATTTCCAGTGCTTCATCTGTGGGAAATCATAGGAGCTGCTTGCACATGCGCAGTTCAGTTGCTAATGTTTACATGAATAAAATCCCTATATTGTACTACACATATATGAACTGGTACCATTGATTTCTATGGGGGTAATAAAAACAATTACATTGCAACTGCATGCTCAATATAGCCTCTGGAAAAAAGAACAAAAAAACATTATCAATGGTTCTGGAAGGGATCTACTTGAGAGTGCTTTTCTGAGTAACTCAACTACCTTTAAAAAAGAATATATATAATGTCAAACAGGTAAAAGAGTTAATGAAGGGGAAAAAAATCTTTTTTACTTTTGCACATTTAATAGCGTGAAAAGAAATCCTTATGCATTCTCTGGTCTTCTGACCTCAATGTTTTCTGCAATTACACAGATCATCTTAACCCATACCTTTCAGCTAAATCTTATCCCCCAGCATAGAAGGTTTACTTCTATTTGATGATTGTATAACTTTCTTGATGTTTATGTGCTGTTAACAGTGGCAGATCCCCTGCTGGCCCATGCAGGGCTGGTGCTATCCAAGAGTCAGCTCTGCTGTGTGTCTATATGAACCGCAGGGGAGATCATCGATCTCCCTCACTGGCCCACATGCAGTTAGCTGGGCAGCTGGCAGGGGAGGGAGAGAGAGAGAGAGGACCAATGGGGAGCTCTTACCTGCAGCTCTGTCAGGTTCTCCTCTCGCAAGTTTGAGCTGAGCAGCAGGCTAGAGTTCATGCTCACAACTAGGACCGCCAGGCATTGGAAGCACTGTCCCCCTCCCAAGCCACAGGTAAGAAGGCAGGGGGATATAAACTATATTTCTTTAATAATTATTTGATAATTAAAAAAAAGTATAAAACATATATTGTCTTTAATCTGCCCTCCTACCCCTCACCCAAACAATAACTCCCTACACACTACACCACACACAAACACACAGCCCCAATACACACACTGCCCCCCATATACACACACTGCACCCCTCATACACACAAACTGCCCCAATATACACACAGACCCCAATACACACACTGTATCGCTATACGCACACTGCCCCATACACACTGTACCCCTATACACACTGCCCCCCTTATGCACACACTGTACCCCTCACACACAAACACACTGCTCCAATACAAGAGGGGGTTGGCTGCACTCACCTTAACATGCATAAATGGGGGTGCTGCTGGGGGCCAAATAATACAATACATAAGATCCAGCGCACTCACCTATCCACTAAACAGCAACTTCAATGTTGAAAGATTTTATTTGTTTTTTTTTAAAACACCTAATCTAGGCAAAAATAATGGGGGTTTAGTTACATTATATGATCATACATTGCATAAGCCTGCCACAACGTCAATGCACCCCATCTTTGGCAGGTCCTACACTAACAACCTAATGTCTGCTCTTATGAGATTAACCTACTTGGGGGAAAAAATTCCATATGGGGCTCTCTGCAGTACAAGGCTAAATAGGGCCCTGGGATGAGGCACCTGTGACAGGGAGGGGTGCAAAACCAAGGAGTTGGCTAGACTCCCAAATATATATAAAACAAGAGGGGTTGGCTGCACTCACCTTAACATGCATAAATGGGGGTGCTGCTGGGGGCCAAATAATACAATACACAAGATCCAGCGCACTCACCTATCCACTAAACAGCAACTTCAATGTTTTAAGATTTTATTTGTTTTTTTTAAAACACCTAATCTAGGCAAAAATAATGGGGGTTTAGTTACATTATATGATCATACATTGCATAGATTATTATTTTTGCCTAGATTAGGTGTTTTTAAAAAAACAAATAAAATCTTTCAACATTGAAGTTGCTGTTTAGTGGATAGGTGAGTGCGCTGGATCTTGTGTATTGTATTATTTGGCCCCCAGCAGCACCCCCATTCATGCATGTTAAGGTGAGTGCAGCCAACCCACTCTTGTTTTATATATATTTTGGAGTCTAGTCAACTCCTTGGTTTTGCACCCCTCCCTGTCACAGGTGCCTCATCCCAGGGCCCTATTTAGCCTTGTACTGCAGAGAGCCCCAGATGGAATTTTTTTCCTCAAGTAAGTGGTTAATCTCATAAGAGCAGACATTAGGCTGTTGGTGTAGGACCTGCCAAAGATGGGGTACATTGACGTTGTGGCAGGCTTATGCAATGTATGATCATATAATGTAACTAAACCCCCATTATTTTTGCCTAGATTAGGTGTTTTAAAAAAAACAATCTTTCAACATTGAAGTTGCTGTTTAGTGGATAGGTGAGTGCGCTGGATCTTGTACACTGCTCCAATACACACACTGCCCATATACACACACTGCCCCCATACACACACTGCACCCCTCACAAACACACACACACACACTGCCCCATACACATACTGCGACCCTCACACAAGCACTCACACACTGCCCCCCATACACATACTGCGACCCTCACACAAACAAACAAACACACACACACTGCCCCCATACACACATACACTGCACCCCTCACATACATAGTTACATACACTATGTCCCTATCCTGGCAGTCCCCAGGTAAGTTGACTTCTTACTCTGGGAGGGTGCCACAGCACTCCTGGCACCATAACCACTACAAAGAGCTGTAGTGGTTATTGTGCCTGGATCGTTTCTTTAAATAATCTGCCAGGGCCCCTCCCGAGATAAGGTTCTGGATTCGTCCATGGCTGTTAATGATGATTGCATTATTAGTGTGTGTTTCCGAATGAATGCATAACTTTACAAATACATGTTTTAATCAATCACATTCTCTACAGTACATTCAGGGCTGGTGCAAGTGTAAAGCATCCCATGCAGCTGCCTTAGGTCTCCCCACATGAGGGGCATATTATTATTTTATTATGTACAATGGGATAAGCTGCCCTGTGCTTTTGTGGGTTTTCAGTAGGCACCTACCATGCAGCATGTGCCCACGCTTTCCAAATTGACCTGGGGGAAGAGAGGGAGCCAAAATGGCACTGTGCTCTGGCTACACAGCACCCTGTCATGTCCTGTAATGAGCTAGTATGTGATGCCACTTCAGTCCTGGCATCAGTACTGGGAGCACAAAGGAGGTTTGCAAGCAGAGGACAGTGATCAATGTAGCTCCCGCTAACCACCAGGGAGATGATCCACTCCAGGAAAAAGTAAGGAGGTGAGTGTTTGTGAATAGGTAGATGTGTGTGATTATGTATGTGTGCATGAGATTGTCTGTGCGATTATGTGTATTTGGGAGCATGTATATGGTGGTGGTGTATATGTAAGAATGTTGGTATGTTTTGTTTTGTTTTTTTGAAAGGGGTAGGAGACACGTCACAAATTCTGCACATACAGGCACATTAAAAGTAAATTTGCCATTTTTTGTGAGGGTCTCACGCAGACATTCTGAAATTGAGGCAATGCGCTTCTGATATCTGTGTGAAAATCACACAATTGGGGGGTGAAGTGTCTGAAGAGAGTGGTAAAGCAACAAAATGTATCTTTGTATTTATAGTAAGAAATTTTTGCAACTTGAGCACATTTTAATGGGGATCTAAAGACAATAATTAAATAGCAAACAAGTTTAAGAATCATCAAAACCAGAGGTAAAAAGGGCCTTGCTCAAACAAGCCTACCATTACGGAGCAACATATCCAGACGGGAAACGAAATTGCCAAGTATGACACCTCTGTGACTTTATCATCATATCAACAAAGGCTGATTCCACCTGACTGCTTGATTTATGTATCCTTAGACGATTACATATTCTTTTTAAGGTTTTATGTACTTTTAATCATCATGTATTATCTATGTGATCACAAATGACTGCATTTTTACTTCATCCCAGCTTGATTCTTTTATGTGTTTTGGTAATTTGCACACCGTACTAACATCCTAATGTATCTAATGTACTAATGTACGATAATGCACTAATGTACCATAATGTGATTGTTACACTACACGTGCCACATAAGAAATAGTAACTAATACATTTTGCATAAAAGTCAAAAATTTCCCAGAATATCCATTTAGCATAAGAGGTTTGAGTAATAAACCTGTTCTTAAATGATCAGGAAAAAAATGGTGAAAAGAAAATGCACACTTATCTATTTTCATTTTAAAACAAACCAGCATTCTTAAAGGAAATTGACTTACAATATCACCAGTAATATTTTAACTGGATTAGACATTGTTTCCCGTCTTCATAATTAATCCTGGCTGAGACAAGAATTTATACAGTAGATTATTTCTAAAATAGAGTATTTAAATTCTATTGTGCTAAGATTCCAAACAAGCTTCGTTATTCTGAGATGGTTGTCCTTTAAAATAGTGCAAACGTTTCTTTAGTCTTTTCACTTGGTTCATCATACATACAAATGAACAATACGATGTTACCCTTGTGATAATAAGCGGAACAAGGGAATAAATAATAATAATAATAAATTACCCTTAAAGGTAGTGTGAAGACTCCTCAATGTCTTCGCAAATACAAATATATAAAAATACACAACCAGCAGGGGTACACAACCAGCAGGAGTACACAACCAGCAGGAGTGCTTTTGAATTGCTGGTTTTATTATTTCCAATCTATTTGCTAACAAACTTCCAAATCCTGGGTGGTTACCAGCATCTTCAGAGAGATTGAAGGAACATTGCGATTTTGATGGGCTTTTTACTTACCTCTTGTGAGTGCAATCAAATAAAGCATTTCTTTGTGTTATCCAGTTGTACACTATGTTTTGCGTTTCTCTTTTATCCCCTAAGTTTTAAAGTTCGAGAAGAGAAGAACAGAAGTTTTCCGTTCTCAGCTTTACGTATTCCGCCTATTATACACATGCGTTTGTGAGTGCATTTTATTTTTATTTTTATGGTATATAATTGTAGCTGCACCATTTGTGGTACTTCTCTGTCTTCTCTCTCGTCATACATACAGGCTTTCTGCATGTCCTAAGATATGTGTGAGTTGTTCACTATCAATATATGCAGATTTATTAAACCTGATAAATGAACATACCAAAGTTTAAAAAAAAAATTTCTATATCAATATTTAATCACACCAAGACAATTTTCCTAGAGAAGTTGTTCAAGCAGGGCCTTATTTAAGTCTTCTGTCTATCAACATTACTTTTCTATTTCTCAATTACTTCTTGTTAAAGAACCCCATTGACTAGAGCAAAATGAGTATGGATTGCTTTATCTGAATCTTTTTTTATAAGTATTTTATTGAGTTTTCTGTAAATGCAAACACCACCATGGAAGAACTAAAACAGCATAAGCCTGGCAGCCACGAAGGACCACCATTCAATGAATTGTGCATATGTAAAGGCATCACCTACATTCAGGTAGAATGAGTACATTAAGAGAAGCAACCCTCTCAAATGTGACTTGCTGTGCAAAACCTTGAGACATCTAAAAGAATACATTTTCTCTTCTAGAGTTCTGCTAAGTCTCATCACTATGGAAGGTCTGACTCCATGGGCCTAAAGAGGGATCCAACTATACAATATTATACCGGCATGGCACCATATGTTCTAAGTCTGGTGGAAACATAATGACACATTAACAGGAGTGGAGAAAGTTACAAAGGAAGATGCCTGCGAGTCCCAAGATTTTAAAAAAATTGCAATAATCGGAGAAGTGTGAAGAGTCAGGAAGTCAAAGTAAATTAAAAGTAATTTTAGAATTTTAAGCCAAAATATCAAAATTTAAAATATAGCACACTTACAGGACAATTCACTAAATTCTGAATTACAGTGAATTAAAACTGAAATAGCAAAAATTGAAAAATTATCCAGCTCTGCTCTAGTCACAGGTTAGTTATTTTTAACAGATACTACAGGCATCAAAAAATGCTTAGCTTTATGAAGCCATTTTAGTGTATAGATCATGCACCTACAGGCTCACTGTTCAATTCTCTGTTAGTTAGGGGTTAAATATTTTTTGTTTCTGTTTATGCAGACCTAGCCATATCTACCCTGGCTGTGACACACACAGCCTCAATGAAAACAATGGTTTCATTTTCATCATGTGTTAAAGGTTCCCTATAGGGTCAGGAACACAAACATTCCTGACCCTATAGTGCTAAACCCACCATTTAGGTGGCTTAGCCCCCCTATAAAATATTTTTCACCCCCTTTGTGACATCATCAAAATGGACGATTCTTAGCCAATCCAATGTTTTCCCAAAGGGAAAACATTGGATTGGCTAAAATCGGCATGGGGCGAGGCCAAATGCCGTTTTGGCCAATCAGGACCTCATCATAGAGATGCATTGAATCAATACATCTCTATGAGGAAAATTCAGCGTCTCCATGCAGAGCGGGGAGACGCTGAATGGCAGGGATGCTTACTGTGCAGCCCTGGTCATCTAAGGAGTATCCACTTGGAGGTGTCCCTAGGGGCAATGTAAACACTGCCTTTTCTCTGAAAAGGTAGTGTTTACATGAAAATGCCTGAAGGGAGCTATTATACTCACCAGAACAACTACATTAAGCTGTTGTTGTTCTGGTGGATATAGTATCCCCTGTTCTTTAAATTTAACTTTAATCACATACAGCATGCTCCTGTGGGGTTTAGAAGGCTATTAACAGAGCTGGAGATAAGATATTCCTATTTAAACAGAATGTGCAATAGAGGAAGTGTAAACAATAGATATTTCTTTACAGGAAGTGTTTACTAAGGTTCTATTCACAGTGAGGGAGGTGTGACTAAAGCTGTATAAACAAAGTGATTTAACACCTGAATGGCCTAGAATTGAATAGTGAGACTAGAGGGGCATGATCTATCCACCAAAACTGCTTCATTAAGCTAAAGCAGTTTTGGTGCCTATAGTACCCCTCTAAACTCAGTTTTCACATTAATATTCTCATTCACTACAA